AAGGAGATACAAAGTGTACGGAAGCGACGATTTCAAAAGCATTGGGCTGTAGCACAATGCGCTTGCGAGTGTCTGAGCCAAGCGGGCCTTGTAAATCACTAGCGTCGTTAAGTTGGGCCAGCACTCAAAATACAAGGAGTCGGCTTAATATTTAAGCATAGTCAACGCAGCGATCGGTGAGTGCGCCTCGTGCGCCCTCAAATGATTTGCTAACCCAGGTCAATAATGCGGTTGATGTGTTGCGTGTGTTGCGTCATCGTTGCAATTGGTCTGTAAGTATGTCTGCATGTCGAGTTTCTTGCATTTCAGGTTTTGGCTTTCACTTGAGAACCCCAGTAAGGATACGCTAGATGGGAATATTGACAAGGTGCCTACCCGTCTGACAGCCACCAGTTAGATTACTGTTTGCAAGAGACAGCTGGTCGCTGCTGTGTGAGACGGAATGTACGAACATAGTGACCATATCTGGCACAAAGAGCGGTTCTATGCATCACGTGTTGAGCGGGCTACGGCCCAGACACTGCTTGTGTACGCCTGGTACGCATGATTTCCAAAGTAAGTATGAATAATTCAACTCCGCTTGTTTAACGTGTGTTGGCCAGCTCCGTGGATGGAAAGTGGCCCTTAACCGCTTGCCTCTTGATCTTATTCTTTTGAGTTTACACTGGACATGCAGCGTGTGAATGAAGCTCTGTGCGTTGCAAAGCAAGCCATCCATGTTTCCTTAATAGATGCAAGCGTTTTTAGGGATTTCCGCAGTGACAGGAAAATTTGCAACCGCTTGCTTATATATATAATAAAAATAATAATGTGTCAGCTGTACGCCGTAACGGCGCTTCGTTGCCGCGCGACCACCACCAGTCGCGCGCGGGCTGAGTATACCGCGAGGACACCCACCCCTACGCGGATTCGAACCGGTGACCTTATGATTTGCCTGTCACTGTGGCAAGCCACAGGACGCCTGCGCCTACAGAGGGACCATGGATGGCTCGCACTGCACCACCCACAGCTCCAACCACACACCCCATATCTAGTGTAAACCCGAAGGAATAAGACCGGGAGGCATGCGGATGGGAACCACGTTTCATCAACGGAGCCGGCCCACACTCCTTCACAGGCAAACACAAGTACGCTGTAGTTGGGAACCAATCGCACACAAGGCGGTGGCTGGACCGTAGTCCGCTCCATACTGACTGCATGGAACCACTCTTTGATCCTAACACGGCCACAAGGACCGTGCACCCGTCCCCTCCAGCAACGACCAACTGTCTCCTGGAGCCAGTATGGACGAGGTAGCGGGTAATAGACAGGTAGGCACCTTGTCAACATGCACATCAAGCGCAGCCACGCCAGGGATATCAAACAACAGCCAATCCCTTGAGAGAGAGATACAAAGAAAATAACTCGATTAATGCATAAGGAGACCGTGACATAAACCTTAAGTTAATGATCATATGAAATAAGTTGTTTACAAACGAATCCTAGATATGTTCAAGAGGTCAGAAAGTATACTTTACGGAAATGCCACGAACACAAAAATGTTATGGAAATCGAATACAATTGGCTTAAGCGAGGTGTGCAAGTTAATGGAATAGAGTACAGGTAGATATTTATATGGGAAAGAAAAGCATTAAGACAAAATTGAAAACCCACTACCTGAAATAAAGAGACATAGCATGCAAGTACGCAGTTAGTAAATCGAATGCAGCGTACCTACAAACGCTGTGCCGGTTCTGAATACTTCTCTGCAGGACCCGTCGTCGCTTCTGTAGTGGTCCCGAGTGGCCTCGCTCATGGCTCACTAGACATTTATATGAGAAAGAATATATATATATATATATATATATATATATATATATATATATATATATATATATATATATATATATACATCACCCACTGCCTTGCGCGTCAGGCTATTGAACCAAAGACTCCGGGCAGAGTCCCTCAAGCAAACCTCCGAAGCACATCCGCCACCTCGCTTGCGATTACCCACCCATACAATCGTATGTCTGCGCGCAAAGCACTCAGCATCGGGTGCTGGAACGTAAGCATACTATTGGACGGGAACTCCAGTGAGCGCCCTGAGCGACTCACTGCCCTCATCGAGATGGAATTGGAGCGCTACAACATCGATATTGCGGCGCTCAGTGAAAGCCGACTCGCTGAGCAAGGTAAGTTACATGAACCAGGTGCTGGTTACACATTCTACTGGGTGGGTAACGCCGCCTCAGCGCCACGTGATCATGGGGTCGGATTTGCAATATCCGATCGCCTCCATGGCCAGCTGGTGGGTGAACCAACAGGCATCAGCGCGCGACTGATGACTATTCACCTACGACTCGGAAGAGGTGAGTTTGCCACCTTTATAAGCACATACGGTCCGACCATGTGTTATCTTGATGACACATGTGATCAATTCTACACTCAGCTATCCTCCGTAATCGGTCTGTGCCGAGGAGCGACCGACTATTTCTGCTGGGTGATTTCAACGCGCGCGTTGGGCGTGATGCATCGGTGTGGACAGATGTTATCGGTCCGCATGGCATTGGCTCAGCGAATGCGAACGGTGACAGGCTGCTCTCACTGTGTGCCACTCACGACCTGACGATGACGAACACTCGGTTTGCACTGAGTACGAGTGATATAGCAACTTGTATGCACCCACGGAGTGGTCACGCTCACGTGCTCGATTATGTCATCGTACGTCAACGTGATATGCGTGAAGGGCGCATGATACGTGTACTGCGTGCAGCTGAGTGTGGTCCTGATCACAGATAGGTGCGACCAAACTGTAGATATATTTTCGTAAATCCAGGTATTGCACTGCCGCCGTAAATCGGCGTAAATTAAACATCCTCTCCCTCGGTACTGTGGCGAAACGTACTGTGCTGGAGAAGGCGATGGCTGCATGCCTTTGTAATATGCAATGCAAAACCACATTCGCAACCAGGTGACAGATGCTGCCGAGGAGACCATCGGGCGCGCAAACTGTAAGCGGTCTGATTGGTTTGATGAGAACAATGCGACGATTGGCGCATTGACGTCAGATAAGAATGCAGCATTTACTGCACATGTTGCAGACCCCAGTGACTTGGGGAAGAGTAGTCATTTTCGCAAATTTCGACGGCGACTGACCCGACAGCTCCGTCGCATTAGAAATGCATGGTGGACGGAGAAGGCGAAGCAGATGGAGTGCTACGGCGGACGCTGCCAACACCAGGAATTCTTTGACTCCTCTAAGGCCGTGTATTGACCGAAGTTGGAGCTGCTAAGGACGTTAATCGATGGTAGCTCAGGCACTACCTGCACACAGACTGCAGACAAAATGCAGATCTGGCCAAATCACTTTGACTGTCTCTTGAACAACCGTTCAGAGATCGACTGGCCTACTGTGAACGGCCTCAAGCAGCACGATGTGAAGGCGAGTCTGGCGGACACGCCGACACTGGATGAGACGCAGAGAGCACTTGCTTAGCTGCGAAACGGCAAGTGTGCCGGGGCCGACGGGATCCCGCCTGAAGTATTGAAACACGGTGGACCCGCGTTGTTGACTGCGCTGCACCACTTGGTGCAACGCGTGTGGATTGAGGAGGAGGTGCCTGCTGAGCTGAAGGATGGTCCGCACCCTTGAGAGGTTGCCGGGGGACATTTGCTTCCTTTCAAATACCAGTTTGGATGACTCCAGTACTGTCATCAGAATGAACTCTCCAGCAAACCCTGACGTTAAATACCATTTGCTCCTTTCCTGGGACCCTGAGGCTGTTACTCCTGGCCGGGCTTGTGTTAACGTTGCACTGGGTTATAGGTCTGAGACCACTCTGCTTGACTGTATCTCAGTCTACAGTCGGTTGTGTGTGAGCAGACTAAGTGGTCCATGTAGGTTAAGTAAATGTCGAGGTGTGAAGCTTTCCTTATTTGTCCTCTTCGCCTACGCTCCTACAAACTGCAGTGTGGATACAGTCAAGGATTGCTCTTATCAACAACTACATGACCTGCTTTCTGGTATTGCCATTCTTGCCAGGGCTTATAACATCCGAGTGGGTCGCCTGCCACCAAGTGAGCATCATCTTGGAGGTAGTTTTCCTCTCGGTAGTAGTCGATCGGACATTGGAGCCAGACTCCTGACACTGTTCTGATCATTGCCTGTTTCTTTAGTGCACCAGTTTCCGACACGCGAAGAGACGGACTGCATCCTGGCGCCCGCCTCGTCAAACGTAAAAATGTCCCCAGCCTGACCACATAGTAATATGCTACAGATGGCGCTGAAGCGTGATAGACTACCGATCGTACTGGTTAAGTTATCTGGAATCCGCTCACGAATTGGTTAGTGTTAAGGTTTGCATGCGTTTCGGAGGATCGCCCAGGCGTACACACTATCGGCTGAAGGTTGAAAATCTGCTAGACCCTACGACCTTATCCAAGTACCATGCTTCTCTGCCGACACTGCTTGCCTCAGTCATGTATCTCACGCGTACTTTTGCTGCCTGTATATTATGTCTGTAATTTTCATCCTAGTCACCCTACGGGACATGTCAAGTATTCGCTTTTATACCCGCCATAAACCATTACTCCGTTGCTCCATTGCAACATGTACGCTGCAGAATCATGCCAACGTAATATCATAAGAAAGAGAACATCCCTGAAACGCTGTCGTTTGCATGACTTATCCATCATTCCAAACTGTCAAGTACCTCTACCATTTACAGCCTTTATTAACTTAGATTTGTATTTACGTCCACAACGACAGAGTGCTAAAAGAGTGCACTCGGTGATCCGCGAAAGCTGCCCTCAGTAGTGTATTGATTCTTCACTAAAAGGCACTTCTTTAGGTGTTGTAATTTTCCACTAGCCTGTGCACAAGGTTAGTTGCGCAATTGCACCTCTATTGCCTTATATATATGGCAGAAGCCTGAAAGGGTTATTTCATCATCGAACTCCCTGTGGAATCCATGAAATTGCTGCGCATCATTATCTCACCGATTTCCGTTCGCTTACAGATGCTTCTGGTTACGTCCGCTTATGGCATTACACTGGTGCCACTGTAGACAGCTGTCTCATGGCCACGTTCACGGAACAATACATTCACAGACCGGATACTCAGGCGCGCCAGAATCAAAAGGCAACCAACAATCAAATACTCGCATGCTCATGTTCCCCCGATTCTGAAAGATTTATCACAGGTGGAGACGACTGTAACATTCGTGTGTATGATCTCAACCAAATGCGCTGTGTACGTACGTGTTCTTCCAGGTAAGTAGCGTCCTTTCCTTTAACATTTAGGTATTTCGCTTCAAATTTCACTATTTACTTGGTAAAAGATTGTACCCTTTTTTGAACCAGTGTATATAGATTACGCATCCGATGATACAATGACGTTTGCTGATTCGGACCTAACGATGGATCTAGGTCCACCAACAAATTATTTTGCTTCACCCATCCCATGGAGCGGTGACCCACTTAACATAATCATTAAAATGAATTCCTCGGACTAAAAGTGTAATACTAACTCTTCACGCTTAATGAAGCCTTTATTTACCAGTGAATAGCCAGTATTTTCAATTTCACGATATACAAGTCTCCATCCATGTGCACGCACCCCGCTGATATGATTTGAGTGACGAAATCTTTCTTCGTGTAAGCTCTTATAGATAAAAAGTAGCAACAGATTTACCACGGAGATAAAAGCAGGCACTTAACAGATTTCCGTAAGTAAAGAGTGCGATCAAAAATTGGTGTATCAAAACAAAAATCGCACAGCGGTGAACTTACCAAGGGTTTCACTTGTACACACAATTTGATAACGTTGCCCCGTGTCGCAGTAACGAGTTAAACCATGCAATGGCGTGGTGTGACGCATCATCAAGTCGAGTTTTAGGTTTGGACAACGTAGAAGCAGGTATGGTAAAATGCGGAAGTAAGTTCTACTGCTGGAAAACACGAAATAAAAAAGGTTCCGGCGGAATTTCAACCTGCTATACTGCATTGTTAACATTAACTGGTGACCTCAGTGATGCGTTGTTGCTGAGTTTAAATAAGGCTCGGCATGGCTGTTTCGGATTCCTTAGAAGCCGATGAGCCAATATGAGATCAGCTCGCAGATGACGATGTTTTTCACTGAAAAGTTTTAGTCTTTAACCTCAAATGGTAGGGGAGATGTAACGATCTCTTAACAATTTTTCTCACCCTATGTTGTGGATTCTCAAGAGCAGCAAACCCATATTTTCCCAAGGATGCCAGACTTGAATGGCGTTTCCTGCATGTGACGTCACGTAAGCGTTGAGCATTTGCGTAACGGAGGTAGGATCAAAGTGAGCAAACGCCCTCCGCAATAGACCTAAGGGTTGGCTGACTTTATTCACTGCCTTCTCAAACTAGTTTAACGCATCCAAGATCGCCCTACACGAACACCCCAAGATTGCTTTCGTGATAAGCGCGTTTCAAAAGGTGTTCACTTAGACAAAATTCGCAGATTCTCTGGTGGTTTAAGCTCATTAGCTTGCATCTGACTGTTAAACTAAAGCATATTCTGAGGCTACTGCTCATAAGCGCTCTCGAGATTATCTTGTAATGATATGTAGTCGTCATCCTTCCTGATTGTCCGCGGACTATCTAGATCGACAGGAAAGCGTAGAAAGTTCGATGTTAAAACTTCTGCGAGTTCCTTTATGGAAATATGAATAGCAGGGATCCTAGTACCGAGCCCTGAAGGACGCTACAGTGACATCCTCATAAGTATGCGCGTTAGCGAGAGTTGGATAACACCGCTATTGTGCCGCAATAAATACAAAAAATGCAACGGTGGTACGCCGGCCAAGTCACCATTAACGTATGGACGTGGTCCGAAGAGCCGGCTCTTATGCCACCAAAGGGTCACATAATGCCTAGTAAATCAGATCATGGTGACAGGAGGCTAAATGGGAGGGGGAGGGACAAAGAAATAACGCAAATGACTCAGAGGGCGGCTCTAGTCATTTCAACAAGCGTATCCAGCCAAACAGGGTCATCATTCCTCCGACCAAAACCAGGGAACCGACAGTCGCCAACCGAGGCCAACGTAGAAACAAAGGCTTTCATTCCTCCTGACCGAGCCATCGCTAGGTCACTGCGCCGCTTCTTCCATTCACATCCCTGGCACGCAAACAACGCACTTCGCAGTAGTCGGTAGGCTGGCATGCGCAACACGTGGATCAGCCATCGAGGCATGGCGCGTAAAAGAACGGTGTTGAGCGGTTTGCTTCTTCTTCTTGCGCTATAACCAAGGCATCGAACACGCACATTGCTCACACGGTGTTCCCACCAAATATGAGCCAAACTGTGAAGACACCGATGGTCGAAGGCAACAAGCCTCTTTATGTCCGCTCATCTAATGGGCCAGGTTTCACAACCGTACAGCAGGGTCGAAAGTAGGGTTGCATTGTTCACTCTACCCTTCAGAGAGAGATATTGCGACATCGCCATAGGTGGCGAAGTTTAGCAAAAGCGCCTAGTGCTTTCGTTATAGGATTTGTGACCTCGTCTTCACATCAACCGGCGCTGTTAGAACTACCTATGTAATGGAACTTCTGAACGAGTTCTATCTAACCCCCACCAAGCGTCAGCACAGAAGGTGGTTCCTGCCAAGCTTGAAGGAAAGCCATGCAGTTGGAGGGTGCAAAGAGAATCCCCAAACAGCTGACAACCAGTGTTAAGCTGTGCAGCGCTGCTTATCACGTTTGGGAGCTGTCCCAGATTAGGGCAATATTGTCAACAAACTCCAAGTCCAGAAGTCGTTCGCCTGGGAGCAGCTCCACATCTAAGTCGTGTCCTGTGAACGTGATCTCCATGATTTCATCAAAAGTGCAGTTTAATAGGAAAGGTGACGACGGGCATCCTTGTCTTACACCTCTGGAGATATTGACGGGCGACGACAGTTGTCATAAACACTTACTTTGCCCCAGCTACGCAAGTAAAACGCTCAGATAATATTAACATTTTCACTGGCACACCTTCCCTGAGTAGACGATTTAAAGTGCACATCGACCAATTGAATCAAAGGCACTTTTGTTGTCGAGGAACACGATAACGGTGGTTCGTCAATATACGTGACGGCGTTCCAACAACTGACGCAAACTGAAGAGGTGGTCGAAGAAACCCACCTTTCTCATCACGAATCTGGCTTTCACGAGTGCTATTCGGTCTGTGAAGGATTACAAAGGCAAGCAATTTGAAGGTGATGGAGAGAAAACTGACTCCTCTATGACTGCCGCAATCCGAACTACAGCCACTTGAAGATCGGGACAATAAAATAGCGGCTCCAGTCGGTGGGGACAATTTCCTGCTCCCACAGTTCCACTATTAATTCGTGTAAATCATCAACGAGAGCAGGAACCCCGAATTTGAAGATGTGGATCATCTGGTCACGCGGCTTTATTCAACTTCAGCTGTCCGATCTCATGTTCGACTTCTTAACGAGAGGACGGATCCAAAGGGACTGCCGAAGGAGTAGGGCTATCATTGGCCGGTGAGGAATCTGAGAATTCTGGCCGAATAAATTGTTTTTCAAAATGCTTAGCCAGACGATACAAGCGTCTTGCCAAGTTGTGGATAGGCTGTCACTAGCACTACATCGCCTGCTGTCGGTTTTCCGTATCAGCCTGAACCTCTATCTGGTCGGACAGGGTGCTTCGAATTCGAAAATTCAAGCATCGTTGCAGTAGGAATGAATGTGTCCAGCCCAGAATAGCGTTGTCGATTCGCTGGCTTTAAAGCTTGTAAAGAAGAATCAGGCGATCAAGATTATTAAATACCTACGCGAAGTCAAGCTAGGTGGCGTCGACACCTTCCCCAGCATCGGCGGATTGCTCCCAGCTGGCACGGACTAAAAATAGGTTCGTGCTACATGAACGGTTTTGGCGGAATCCATGCTGTTTCTGTACGATAATATTTTACTCTTCTAACTATTCCATGAGTAAAACTGCAATGACAAATTCCATGATGTTAGCAAGTACAGGAGGAGGATTAATGGGGTTGTAGTTTGCGGACGGTGCACGATTGCCTTCCTTGTGAATAGAGGTGACTATTCCACGCTTTCACACTGGAATTTCGTCGAACAGAGCTGGAAAACTGAGCTAATGGTTCAACCAAGCTCGTGGCAGCTAGCATCTCTGTCTTATGTCGTATGTTATCCGGACCAGGGGAACTGTACTCACTAGTGACATCAGTCGCTTCAACACATCCGCCGCTGTGAGGGAGATGTGGCTAATTCCTGGGGTTAATGTAATATGTGTAAACCAAGAAACCTAGGGAGTTACTCGTCACCTTAACTCTACACATTATGGCGAACTCAGAATTAGTAGAGCAACACCGGAATCGGCCACTGATGTGAAAAACGTTTGACTCTCTCCAAGTGCGCTACAACACGGACTTTGTAAGTTACCCATCTATTCTGAGGTCTCTTGAAGCGCACGACAATCGAAATAAACATCACAGAAGGGCACAATAAGCTAAATTGTCTAACCACAATTTATTTGTGGCCTGCCCGAGCTTCCTTTCCACGACAGCTATTAGGCAGATAACCAGGATTCGAAACTGGCGATTCATTCATGAAGCCCTTTTCTTGGACAATGATGTGGTGCGAGCGCTTAAAAGGTTACCACTGTCACCAAATTATACAGGATGCGGTTCAAGAATCTTAGGACTCCTAGTCCAGTCAAAGCTGACAGCAACAAGTGTTAGAAGGTTGAGGAAGACATCGGAAAAGCTTTCCATCTGAATATTGGTTAAAAGCTACTGAAGCCTTGCAAAGACCAGACATGAACCTAACTAAGAAAGAAAACCTACCGGCGATTACGCAGGAACATCAACTTAGCGTTCGGGCACGCGATTTTGAAGGATGTCCAGAGGAGGAATGGGACGTCGCTTGACCAAATTATGTTGCGGATGGTGTACCACCATCATCCCATCAAAAAAGCAATAACAGTCGACTTCATATCGGCCGCCATTCTACCGCAGTTGGATTCTTTCGCTCGCTGTGGGCCCCTGAAGACCTGGCAATTGTTCTGCATTTATACCGATGCTCAACGCATTTACAACAATTTAGCTGAACTGCAAGATCGCCAAATTTCGAAGCCATGCGATATCATCGATGTCCCGGAGATATGGTTGCACACTGGAATGACAGACACTAAACTCTCGCTACCGCGCATGCCACTCATCCGAATCGACAGGCACATGAAAGGAGGAGAGCTGATCCTTTACTACCGAAACGACCT